GTATGAGGGTGTTTCGTCCCACAGTGTGCATTGGTCTTTTTTTTTTTTTCTCCAATATATTTTATTTAATTTTCTCTTTTTTAACAACACACCTTCAGACAACAAATTTAACATTATAACATGTACTTTTACACACTTACTTTCACCCATGCACTCACCATTCAAACCTGCATTCATTTAGTTCCAAGAATATACAAAACCTTTTAGATTAAGACAGAGAAAAATAACAAGGTAATGTATAAATGGAAACTGTAGTCAAGACAGCCATTAATGACTCTACTGGCTACACTAGCCAACATGCATGTTTTAAATTAGTATTTAATATCTAGTATTCTAGTGCTTTTTAGTATGTATATGTTGTGTGTAATGAGTTTTCAGTTTCTTTCTTCCAGAGTCCCGCAGTGGTCTTATTTAGTTATTTTCATGACGATACTTTCTTTCGATTTAGAATAAATAAGCAGCTGTTTTTTTCAAAGATGCTGTTAAATTGTTTCTCTGATCGGGTCAGAAAGGTGCAGTGAGGCTTAAATAGCCTGTTTGGTCGTATAACACCCATTAGGCCTAATCCTGATCAGATATTTGGATAGACTAGTTAATAGACTATTTTCTATTCAAGTTGTGAGTCTTAGACTTTATTAATCCCTTGGGAAGACTCCCTCAGGAAATTTAAGTTACAGCAGCTTACAGGGCAAAAAGTGGCACACAGAGAGCAAAATGCAAAAAAAAAAAAAAAAAAATTAAATATTAGATACAGGTACAAGCTTTGTCTCTGTGTTTGTGTTTTGCTTTTTTAATGCAGTTTACAATATTATTTGCTCTTTTTTATTGTTCACTGGAGCCGTTTCCGTTTGTTATCTACAATTTTGTCTATTTTCCCTGAATAAACAGGTCAGTGTCTCCGTTCGTTACCAACCAGTGTGTGTTATTAAAACTCCCATAATTCAGCTGCTAGTCGTTATCAGTTATCAGTAAATCCCTGTTCAACATGAGTCTGACAACTAAGTAAGTAGATAAATAACTTTAAACTTTAACACATGCTCTGATAGGCCAGGATCGGTATTGGAAGTGGAAAAAACTGGATCGGGGCATTCCTAACACCCACTGATTGTGTACAGAATTAATATAGAGATTTATATTTTTCCCTTTCAGGTGCACACAGCGGAGACTTCAACCATTTCCCGGATGACCCGGAGTTCGCGGACATCATCCAAAGGGCAGAACAGGCTATCGAGGGCGGGGCCTTCCCAGAGAGGATTTCCCAGGGATCCAGCGGGAGCTACTTCGTCAAAGACCCCAAAGGGGTGAGCTGGACCCTTTATGGAGACATTTAAGGGCTTTCTATAGTCACAAATACAGTTTATTTTAAACCACAGACAAGAAAGAGAGCACTTTCCCTTCTGTTAGTTAGACCCCTGATTAGTTAAACAGTCATTTTCTCTGTAAATACGCATGAAAAGTGTCTTTTTGTCCAACAAAAAAGAGCAAAAATGCAAGAAAACATGTATTGATGAAGTTGTTATCTTCCAGGGGGAGCTGAAATTGCCTCATTTCTAACGGGTTTTTTAATCTTTTTAGATTGTAACTGTTCTTTTTCCCGCTACAGAAAATCATTGGTGTTTTTAAACCAAAGTCAGAGGAACCTTACGGTCACCTGAACCCAAAATGGACCAAATACTTTCACAAGGTACGCCATCAAAACCGACGGCCATTTTGATGCGTTTTGTGTTCACTTTGTCTCATTTTAAATCTCAATTAACTCTCTATGGCATGGTGTAAACCTCAGGAAACAAAGCACAAATCCAGACTTTTATCTTTATGTGGAGAAAGAAGAAGACAAAATAAGAAAAACAAAAGAAATCTCCATTTTAGATGTTTGTCCAGATGTTTCTTGAATGTTAAACAATTACCTGGTTAAAACTTGTTTATCTATGTCTAAATGAACTAGTTTTCATTCCACTTCTTGGATTTTAGGATGACTATGTGAGCTCCCGAAAAGGGGGTGATATTTATCCAGACTTTCATCTTTTTGTGGAGAAAGAAGAAGAGACATAAGAAAAACAAAAGAAATCTCCATTTTAGATGTTTGTCCAGATGTTTCTTGAATGTTAAACAAGTGCTGTGTGCCACTTGTTTATCTTTGACTAAATCAACTAGTTTTTATTCCACTTTTCGGGTTTTAGGATGACTATACGAGCTCCTAAAAAAAGGTTGAGATTTATCCAGACTTTTATCTTCATGTTGAGAAAGAGACACAATAAAAACAAAAGAAATCTCCATTTTAGATGTTTGTCCAGATGTTTCTT